AAGGAAGGAAGGAAGGAAGGAAGGAAGGAAGGAAGGAAGGAAGGAAGATTTCCAGCTGATGTCACCCTCCCTTGTGTTCCCCTAAGCCTTGCCAACTACCCTCCCACCACATGCCTTTCTCAGCCCATGCAGCATCTCTTGCACATCCCACATATATTCATGTCACCTAATGGAAGACATCTTTTATTCCAGATTGTATTCATTCAACATATTTAACACTTTTTTCCATTCCATTCCCTTCCATCCCTGGAATCAATAGCCCCTGGATAAGGGCATGCAATTATCATCAACCAATAAATTCCTATTTCATATGCACCCACAACAACTAATTCATACTTTTTCACTACAGTTTAGCCCTTTTTTCATAATTAATCTTATACCTTCACTTCCTTGCATGTATATCAACTCTTCTCCACAAAATTATTTGCCTTCATTCATACCTTTTACACCTTTCTCATTTCTCTTAATTGCATAGACTCAGAACATACACTATTTTTCTCTTGTTAATTCATGCTGTCTGCTATTCACTCCTCTTATTTCCAAGTCATAATCTTCTATTAGCCATGGAAAGTACCCTGTGACTTCCACCACGTATCATGACTTTGCCAAATCAAGGTTTTTATATACAGGATGTCTTCAACCTATAACCATTTGTTCAGCGACTGTTTGAAGTTACAACCATGCTGCACAAACTGTGGTTTCAACCAATCCTCAGTGTTCCTGCCATCCCATCAACTCTGTGATCATATGCTTGCAATTTGGTGCTTGACAGCCAATTTGCACTTATGACTAGTTGCAGTGCCGTGTGATCATGTGATCACCATTTGCAATCTTTCCTGTCAGCTTCCCCAGAAAGTCAATGGAGAAGCCAGCAGGAAAGGTCATAGGTCACTGGGTTCTTTCCCCCACCCATGAATTACCTCAATGAGGAAGTCAGCAGGAAGTTGCCTCACCTAGGAATCATGGCATTAGGTTAACAAGGATAACTATGACTGCAGGGATTGCCATCATTGAGTGATGCCGACATGCCTTTTGACCACATCGCTTATCAATGAAAATTCCAATTCCAATTGATATCAAAAGGATTACCTAAAAGTTGCTTAGTAAAATATAGAAACTACAAACTAGATTATTCAGTCTCAGGTCTGTCTATTCAGCATTCCCTGCTAATGATAAAGACAGTATTAGTTAGCTTTTCTGGGGGGTTTGACCAGTATGTCACAAGTATAACCAAAGCCAATTTTTACCCTATTCTGTGCAAACTATAACCTAGAAATTACCTTGCAAATTAACATACTGTCACCCACATCCTGCCAACTTGGTGACATACATCCAGGATACATTAATTCAACATTTGCTATCACTTACAGTCCAATTTTAATACAACACTTGTATTATTTCCATGTACAGTATAGTAGATTTCAACCAGAATGTTTATGTTCATTACAAGTGACCCTATTCTCCTACAGCAAAGAAAAACTGAAAAGCAGTTAATGTCTTGAGTTACGAAAAGGATGAAAATCACATAATGACATATAGTATATGTATGTGAAGTATATATTACAGAAATATACACATATTTAAAGAAAAATCTCTGGACTGAAAGCATGGCTGGTTCTGGTATATCCTTTCTCTAACCAATTCAAGTAATTTGCCACAGCAGAGCAATGGGCTATACTGACTAAAGATAATAGCAGCTGTAATCCAACATATTGTAGTGAACTAGAGCTGTCAGCATTTGTTTCTTTTAACCTACTTTATGTCTTCAGTAAGAAGAATCTGTGGCAAGATAAAGCCAACAATGTGGCTATGTGAATGCATAGCTATAAAACTGCTTTCAAAAATCATCGGCTATCATTTTTCTGAAGTAATGTTATTTAATAAACAATATACCTACCTGCTGAAGTTACTGTGATGTGAATGACTGTAACAGTTATGGCATAATCCCAAACCCATTCTTCTACCAACAAGGCAAAGAGCAGGCCAGAGATGACATAGGCTATTTCCATTGATATTATAAGACCTAGAAACACAGAAATGCATTAAAACAATCAATGGGATCTTTTGTTCAATGCTTTCTAATTCTAAGTCTGCTAAATTTCCAAATATCAGATTGCTGTTAAAGATAGGAGCAGGCTGACAACTGTATGTTATCCTCATTCTGGAAAAGTAATCTTGGCATGGCTGACGGCCAACACAAAAACCTTGGAGATAAATTTGTGTTTCTCACAAACTGTGATACAGATACATAATTTTAGACTGAAATTAATTATTTTTCCTGTGCCTTCTATTTAGAGTATAAAGTATATAACTACACTTACTATTGCTTTTTGGGGTTTTCAGTTTAATCTGTTGATTGGAAAACTGGTGAAGGGATATATGGCACTGTGGTGGCACAGCGGTTGGTATGCAGTGTTACAGGCGAATACTATTGACTGCCAGTAGTTCAATCTTGACTGGCTCAAGGTTGATTCAGCCTTTCATCCTTCTGAGGTTGGTAAAATGAGGACCCAAATTGGGGGAAATATGCTGACTCTTTAAACTACTCAAAAAGGCCTGTAAAGCACTATGAAGTGGTATATGAGTCTAAATGCTATTGCTGTTGTTATGGGGAGCCAATGGAAGCAATGTATTTATGGTATGCCAGAACATTTCATTCTGCCATAAGACTGCCACTCCTGCCACTCCTGCCACTCCTGCCACTCCTAAACTATTCCTACTATCTGGGAGAATAGCAAGTGGGGTCAAGTTCATTTTTAAAACAAACATCTAGGAAGTTCAGTTTTTTTTTAAAGGAGATATGATATGGAATAAGACAATTCTGTCCAACAGGATCACCGTTTGACGTGTGTTTGGACCAATGTATGCATTACCCAATACACAAAAACTACATAGTTGATAGTGTAGGAACAATTTCTTGCCTCTAGCAATAGCACTTAGATTTATATACCACTTCACAGTCTTTACAGCTCTCTCTAAGTGGTTTATAGTCAGCATATTGCCCCCAACAATCTGAGTCCTCATTTTACAAACCTCGGAAGGATGGAAAGCTGAGACAACCTTGAGACAGTGAGACTCAAACTGCCAAACTGCTGGCAGCCGGCAGTCAGCAGAAGTAGCCTGAAGTACTGCATTCTAACCACTGCACCATCACAGCTCTGCCATCATGACATGCCACATGTCATGGCAGTTACCAAAACATTATTAACTTTTAAAATCCTCATTTTTATAAAGGTAGAAAAGTGTCACAATTTTTACTCTGCTGCTAGCTTTCCAAAAGCATTTAATGCATATAGTTAGTCTTGCTATCATGATTGGACTTCTATTACATACTCAAATAATTTAAGAGTACATTGTTACATAGATTAACAGTGTGCTGTTGAAGAAGGTTAAATTAAAAATGCACAGATTCAAATACTGTCTTGAGTGGTTGGTTCTCAGTGTGCTTGGTTCTTCACATGGAGACATGAAACAATCCACCTTATTCTCCAAAGAGCTGATCCTGCATCATCCAAAATCAGTATCAATATCCAGTTTAGTTCAACAGAGTGAAAGCAGATTTTTTGAATTTTAATAGAAAGCCTAGTTTTTTTAAAAAAACACATCCATTTAATCATAGCTGTTCTCAGTAATCAGGAAAATCTGTGGAGTGAAGAGCAATGCTACTTTTGATTTCTGTAGGATACTAAGAATTGTCTCTCTAATTTATTCTTCCAACTTTCAACAGTTCTTCTGGTCGTTATTCTAATTGCTGTACTGCAATCCCATAGATAAGCCCAGGGAATTGGTTTCTTTTCACACATCTGTAACCCCAGCACTTCTGAGGCCAGGAAAAAGGAAGAAGTAGAAAGCACAATATTCCAGTTTATAATTTGTTCCTTTAATTTCCAAGATTTGAAAGAAAAAAGGAAAAGGAAGAGAACTCTCTCTGCCAATCCCCAAATACCACTATTTTTTAATTCAAAAAAACCAACAAGTGTTATTCAATTTTACCAAATTAAAAAACAAAGTTGCCAACTAATAACATCAAAAAGGTATCATGAGAAAGAGAGAGAGGTCAATTTAAGAATTAATTAATGGTTCTCCCTAAAAACATATCCTGGAATGACATCTTGACACCTTTTTCTCCATTTCATTGTCATGATGTACATTTTACTGAAGATGTCATAGTAATTATGTCAGGAAGATATATGAGACATTACTTAAATCAGTAAAATTCTCGAAGAGCTTAAAATAATGAGAAATTTAAAAGTAATAAACCTTATGGCATTATTCTTTGCTTCTGATCATACTGACACATTAAATTAATTTTGTTCTATAGTTATGAAAGGTAAGAAAATATCTTTTTAAAACTATTATTAGATTGAAGCTGAATTGTTCATAGATTGCCTATAATCATCATTTCCCTAACATAGTTGTCAAGTCTCTTTTCATTATACCCAGACTGGAAAAACTAAAGCTAGTTGACAGCTATAATTATAAATCAACTGAATTGTTGTCTTACAAATCTGGAATCTGAGACAAACACTAGGACGCAATTTTATTCATTGGAAGGCTGATAAGGCAGGAACCAGGAGTCCTCAGGATAGACAGAATTGTTATGTAAAGTAATCTTAGCTGCCTCCCAAGGTTATCCCTAGAGGAGGGCCAAATGCCTGTTCACTTGGAAAATTGTGAGGAAATAGCTATGAGTTTAAGTTCTGAAGTCACTGACATAAAGACTTCTTTTCTCCACAGTGGGCAATCACTATGTTAAGGCTTACTCTTGTCTGCAATAAAGGTTTTAATCTACCCAAGTCATGTTTGAGAGTCTTGTGTCAGTTTTATTTGGTATTAAGTATGACAAAAGCTGTAATTTATTGCCCAGCTCTGATGTGAGGTCTAACAGGAAAAGTAGAAATTGTTGCAATCTGTATAGTGATTAATAAAGGACCCATGCTCTGGAATACTCTGAACAATGCAAAAGTGAAGTCTGATGGAGTGGCTGTTAGTGTGGGTAATAAGGCCTGAGGGATAATTCACTGGGAAATTAGTGACTAAGCATAAGGCAACTTCTCAATAGTGAAAGTTGCATTTCCATGAATGTTGATGGAGCATGTCAAGGCCACAACCAATGACCGTTGTAACTGATTTTATCATGAGGCACATAGGGGAAATCTTTCAGTCTGGCTAGTGATTATCTATAGAAGCCTTGTACCAATGTTAACATTTTTGTATGTACTGTGAGTTACCATAATGGGTGACTTGAAGAGATGCCATTTCAATAATGCATCTATTGGGATAATTACTTTCATTCCTATTAGATGAGCCTCTGGCTTTTTTTTTCTGGTGAAATATATTTACCTCAGCGGAACACCCTATTGGCAATTAGGTATTAACAGAGCAAATAAATATTGGGCTGATGCAGATATAACATGAAGTTCCTACATGATGGTGTTGAGATTTATTTATTTTTTGCATAATATGAATTCATTCATTATAGTTAGCATTATGATATTATTAACCAGGCCACTTGGGTGTCTTTATCTGAGTGGAAGATGCCATGGTAAAGTGGGGGAAAGTATTTTGAATGCCACAATCTCCCACTGATTTCTAGAAATATCAAGATTCACAGATCAGCTCTGTGAACTGATCTCATATTCCCAAGTTGTCCAATGCAACCTTGGACGTTGCCCTGCAAAAATCAAGCATCCAAAAAATACCAGCTCCCAGAGGACAAGTTTTGTTCTTTCCTTTATTATCATCTAGACTAGAGAGAATAGTTATGAGTTCATGGCACTCCTGGCCTATTCTCTATGTTCTTAGATCAATATGAATAAAGATGGTTGTTTTCCAAAAGAATTTGGAAGGACTGGGAAATAAAAACAATAAAAATGTCATAAAGCTATCTAGTATGATATATTCCCCAAATTAGAAGGAACAGGAAAAGATCTGATACTGTTGCCTCCTCCAGATTCACCTGAGATAGCCACCACAGATTAAGCCATCTAGTTTATACATTACCCCTCACACCCTGCACCATGTGTCTTTTCTCAATCTGTAAAGCTAATATTTTGATATTCATAAATGCAAACACTGTATACAAATTATCCTGCCATTAACTCCTTAAATATTCTTCCAAGATTCCATACAACATCAATCATCATAGACTGAATGTTGTATGGAAACTTGGAAGAATTTTTAAGGATTTAATGGCAGGATAATTTGTATACAGTGTTTGCATTTAAATTTAAATCAATTGCTTGAAATGTTTTGATAGAAAATGGCCTTCTAGTTATTTCAAGATCACAGATAGAAAAAAGCAAGCTTACCTAAATAATGGGGGTTAAACCATGAAGGTTTTGTCTTAAAATCGAAAGGTGCAAATCCATCCAACATTTGAATTCTGTGAATATATACAGCATGTCAACCAAGTCCTTCGGGAGTATCTGAACAAAACATTTTTCTTCTACCAATATCTCCCCAAATACAGAGTGTCTCATATATGCTAACAAATGTTAGATATGGTCATATTGCATTATTGAATGTAGTTTACTTAACAGCTTTTTCATACTGAATTCAATTACTAAGCATAAATATACATATATGCATATATGTCTAAATGTTCTATTCAAAATGAATGAAGCCAAAGTCAATCCCGCCTCACACAATTTCATGCATTTCTGCATTTAGAAAGGTACTTAAAGTCTTCTTACCTGAATGCTGTGAAACAAAAGCACAGGACTATGTAATACACAAGGTAGAATATTAGCACACATTTTAGCAGATTGAGCAAAATAATCTGTAAATAAATAATAAAATTAAATTAATGTAAGGCTTTCTTTACCATCTTTTGTTCCAAACCACTGGAAAAATATGATAGTATGCATGAGACAGAGATGGTATTCAGCAGGTTCTGACCAGTTCTGGAGAACCGGTAGCGGAAATTTTGAGTAGTTTGGAGAACCGTCAAATACCACCTCTGACTGGAGATTTTACGGTATCCTTCCCCTGCCATGCCCACAAAGCCACGCCCACAGAACCGATAGTAAAAAAAAATGAATCCCACCACTGGTGTGAGAGCACTCTGTGTGTGTGTGTGTGTGTTCAGGTATACTTACTTATTAGAATAGAAATAGAATAACAGAGTTGGAAGGGACCTTGGAGGTCTTCTAGTCCAACCCCCTGCCCAGGGAGGAAACCCTGCACAGCTTCAGACAAATGGTTGTCCAATCTCTTCTTAAAAACTTCCAGTGTTGGAGCATTTATAAGTTCTGGAGGCAAGTTGTTCCACTGATTAATTGTGGTTCCACTGATTAATCACTGCCAGGAAGTTTCTTCTTAGTTCTAAATTGCTTCTATCCTTGATTAGTTTCCATCCATTGCCTTCAGGTGCTTTGGAGGATAGCTTGACTCCCTCTTCTTTGTGGCAGACCCTGAGATATTGGGACACTCCCCCAGTCCTTCTTTTCATTAGACCAGATATACCCAATTCCTTGCTGGGTATGTCTAGTGTTTGCATGAAATCTAAGGGCTGTATGGTCAGGAGCATCCATGGGAGGAAAATTGTAACACCTGCATCATAACATAATTATATAAATGCTAACATTTACATAAGAGCATTAGACAATTAGACTGAAATATATAATAGCATTTGCATGGTAATACAATTGCATGCATGTCATTATTTTGGCATCAAGGGATTTATTTATGTATTTGACAGTTTTTATACTTTGCCATATTTTAGAACAACTCCCCATAGTTTACTCCACCAAATCATAAAAATGACCCATGACATAATAAACCAAAAACCAATCCAGAGGTAACACCTTCTAGAGATCAAAAAGTGTAATTCTGTCTTGAAAGTTTATCTCTAAGCTTGTCTCTAAACTTTCCAAAATGCAGTTGGAAAGGAAACCACCCCAAGCTTCAAGAGTGGAGGAGTTTATTCTAGAGAAGTGGGGCAGCAATAAGAAAAATTGCTTCCTTTGTCTCCTCCAGCAACTTCGCATATGGAAGGAAGCCTAGATCAGCAGATCAACAGGCTGCTTCTACTTGAAAGGGATAGAGCTAAAAAAAGCCCCATGAGTCAATCCTTAAAGGGATTATAAGTTAACTCAGAGCCAGTGTGGTGTAGTGGTTAATGCATCTGGCTAGAATCTGGGAGACTGTGAATTCTAGTCCTGCCTCAAGCACAAAGTCAGCTAGATGATCTGGATCCAGTCAGTCATTCATTCTCTCTCTCTCTCTCTCCCTCTCTCTCTCTCTCTATCTCTCTTTCTCTCCCTCCCTCTCTCCCTCTCTCCCTCCCTCTCTCTCTCTTTCTCAATTCTAGGATTTCTGAAAAACTGTGCTAACAAAACTGCAAGGATTGGTCCTGGCAGCCTCTGAAAATTGGCCAAAATTGAATGAAAGAAGAAAAAAAGTTGCAAGTAGCATTTTGAATATTCAAAAGCCTATTGGGTGCCAATGCTGGTGACATCTGGCTGCAATAATTCTCCCCCATCAGCAGACAAGTAACTGTATTTTATACAAGTTGCAGTTTTTGCATAGTTGTGAAAGACAGCCCCGTGTAAAGATCATTGCAGTAGACTGCCCTAGAGGCATGATTTACTGCTAAATATATTTTTTCAGAATGGCTGAGTGTGCAATTAGATGTCTCTTCAGGCATATGAATAATAAGAAAAGCTTAACCAAGAAAATAAAATTGAAGTTTTGTCATCTTTGGGTTTAGTTTCTTCCCCAAACCCCAAAAACTTTAACCTTAGACTTTCTACTATTGACCTCACCCCTTTCCTAAGAGGTCTGTAGGGGGCGTGCATAAGCGCACCAATGTGCCTACCGTCCCTGTCCTATTGTTTCTTTTATTTTTCTTATATGTATCCATGTATTCATAACTATATTTTTACTTATACTTATTATCTTGTAAGCAATTGACAAACCAAATAAGTAGAATAAAATAAATAGACTGGTCAACATTATAAAGGAATTATTAGCTGGGATCCTAAGGTAATAAAGGAAAATAGAAATAAAGCCTCTCACAGCTCTTCCTTTTACAACTTGTCCTGCTTCAAATACAGGTAAGCCTCAACTTACGACCACAACTGAGCGCAAAATTTATGTTGCTAAGTGAGAAATGTGTTAAGTGAGTTTTGCCCCATTTTACGACTTTTCTTGCCACAGTTGTTAAATGAATCATCGCAGTTGTTAAATTAGTAATGTGGTTGTAAGTGCATCTGGCTTTGCTTGTCAGAAGGTCACAACAGGTGATCACATGATGCAGGGACACTGCAACCAATATGAGCCAATATGAATGTAAATCACATGACTATGGGATACCATGGGAAGTATAAAAATGGTCATAAGTCACTTTTTTCAGTGCCATTGCAACTTTGAACAGTCACTAAGTGAAGTGTTGTAAGTCGATGACTACCTATAGCAGGCTTGTCAAACTGGTGGCCCATGGGCCGGATACATCACGCACAGGCCACACCTATCCTGAATCTACAAGGGCACAAAATGTCATGATACATCACGATACGTTACATGACGTGATCGAGTTTGACGCCTGTGACCTATAGTCTGGAGAGGCACCCTTTTCTTTTTATCCCAAATCATTCAGAAGCACCTTTGGACCTTCTAAAAGGTTTAGTGGAGAAGAGAAATAGCTTGGGAAATAAAATGAGAAAATGTTATTGCTGTGTATTTTCTTGGATTTGAGTTATTTGTTAAAGCTTGTGGGGAGGCAAAATGGAGGTGGGGGAACTGGACTTCTATTTCACTTCACTCTTAAATAACTAGTAGCAATCAAGCTATCTCTTTTTTAGCCAAGATAGAAAATGTGTGAATAGCAAGGTCTGTACATCTGATTTAGTCCAGAGCACTGTGGGAGACTGAAATGTTTTCCCACTGGCTGAACTAATTTCTCATAAATATTCTACCAGGGCTTTTTGCAGATGATGAATTTCATGCCCACAAGATCAGTAGCAGAATATTATTCTTGGACAAGGGCAAGCAAGGAACAAGAGCTGCATCCACTTCGTCCAGATCAGAGACTAGTTTTCCTGATGTACAGCAAAGCTGAATCATCTATAATATATCAGGTTATAATCTGGAGAAAGGTGGAAATAGATACGAGGTAGATTGTAAAGGAATGTCACTTATTTGTTGTTACGATCTGAGTCTAAGCCTAGTGGATAACTTTTATATCATTTTTGTTCTTCTTCAACTTGTCTAATCACCCAATTCAGGATATCTCTGGGCAGAAATTAAAAAAAACAATCATAAAAATACATATCAAAATTGCAAGACAAATGGACAGCTGAAGACATTAATCAATATACTACTATGTTTCCTAGAGATCGGATCACTTAACACTTTGGCCCAATGCTGTAGGGCCAATAATATTACAAAACTGAATGAAAGAAAACTGAACAATATACTTTAAAAAGTAAAGGTAAATATTTCCCTGTCCAATTATATCCTACTCTGGTGTGCCTGTACTTATCTCCATTTCCTAGCTGAGGGAGCCAGCATTGTCCAAAGACAGTTCTGTGGTCTTTTGGTCAGCATGACTATAAGCTGAGGTACATGGAACGCTGTTACCTTCCCACTGAAGTGAAACCTATTTAATTACTTGCATGCTGTCAAACTGCTAAATTGGCAGGAGCTGGGGCAAGAACAGGAACTTATCCTGTCCTGTGGGGTTTGGGTCTCAAACTGTCAACCTTCCAGTTGACAAATATAGTGCCTAAATTGCTAGGCCACCACACCCCTGAACCAGTGGTGGTATTCAGCAGGTTCTGACCAGTTCTGGAGAACTGGTAGCAGAAATTATGAGTAGTTTGGAGAACTGGCAAATACCACCTCTGACTGGAGATTTTATAGTATCCTTCCCCTGTCATGCCCACAAAGCCACGCCCACAGAACTGGTAGTAAAAAAATTTGAATCCCACCACTGCCCTGAACAATATATCACCCAATTGCAAAGTATCAACTGATAGAAGATTCTAAGAAAATGAAAAAGAAATGAAAAACAAGAAAGATCTCATTGGAACTCTATTCCAGCAAGTCATCTGAATTGACCCTGAAGATAATCCATAACCCATCCATCCTATTAAAATTGCATTATATGTTGTTGGCAAGATTGTAAAGAGATGGGCACAAAAGTACTGCAATTCTGTTTGATAAAAAAGTTTTTTTTTAAAAAAAAAAATAGAGAAATATCGTCCAACAATCCTTCCCGCTGAATCTTTCCGATCATTTCTTGTCTAACTTTCCAAATGCATTTATATTACTGTAGTGTAATATATAAACTAGATTAGTTTCCCATTGTTAGCTATCAGGTTTGTGACTGTAAGACAAGGAAAACTAAACAGCTTTTTTTAAAAAAAAAATAT